AGGAAGCTGGATTCGGAGAGAGGGTTTATTTATAACACCCCCAAAAGGGGCTGCGTTTAGATACAAGCGAGCCCTCACGCCAGTATCTGGTTTCTGATTGCGGGCAAAGAGGAAATCGTCGCTTCCCTTCTGCCCTCTGAGTTCCTGACCGCCTCTTGATTGAGTTCTTTGCTTTCTCTAAACAAGACAGGATCCAGCGGTCTGTGGGTTTCCTAAGCGAGTGGGATTGTTTTTTGCTGCCCTGGAAGGACTCTTGTTCGCTTTCAGCTGGCAGCACATTCAAGGGGGAGGGTGGAGGTCTACGAGAGAGCCAGACGTGTCCTTTGTCTCGTCTGCACAAGCAGCCTTTGGCGTAGTCCAGAGACGAACGCAGTCCGTTTTCACAGAGGAGCGGTCACCGCAGGGTGGTGTTGCAGGGTGTCATTTAAAAAAACCCCAAAACTGCTCTGTGCCGTGATGTCGTTACAGATTCGTAGGCTTCTTTTTCGATCCCTGCCTTCCTTGCTCTGACCAGCAGTGGAGTTTTCAGTCCAAAGACCATTCTGTGGTCAGTCCGTAAACTAGAATGTGGCAGATCTTTCCGTTCGACAAAATGATAACAGCAACACCCTGTAAATGCCATCTCTCGCTCTCTCTGTCTTTCTAGCAAAAAAAAAAAAATCACCAAAGTTGAACGGACAACAGAAAGCTATCTTTAATTTTTTCTCGTCTAGCACTCAAGGTCCCCATTGTGACTTGGGGGTCAGGCCCGGCGAGTTCTTTGCCCCTCCTATCAAGACATCCCCAGTCCCTATCAGTAGGAAGTTAAAAGAGTTAAATCAAATTGGGACTTCACCCCCAGGGGGTAACAAACAGGCATTATGTCAGCTGCAGCCTGGCCTCCTAGCCGCCAGCATTCCTCCGGGGCAGTGACCCATGCTGGGCACTTGTCCCCTTCGTTTAACCTGCAAGGGTTGCTAACCGGAAAAAGAAACCCACAGGTTGGAACGAGTCGTTTCGCTGCAACCAGCTCTGTAAAACCCGGTAAATATATCACAACTCTGGACGGAGCCCTCTTCGAATCCCCTGCATGTCTTAATCTCCCAATAGAGACAATTTACAAAAACCGAAGGTCACAGCTACAACAAAGCTATTAACAGAAAACCAAAAAAAGCTGCTACACAAAGCGCTCCAAAGTCTATATATCGACACACAAATTTGAAAGGTAAGCATTATACAAAAAGTCCTTATTAAGAGGTCGTGAAGATGTAAAAGAGTTGACAAAACTCCCCGGAGTACACGTCCGTTTCGTAATTACTTCTTCCGAACCATCGGGTAAACCGTATAATTTCATATAATTTTATAATTTTGTATCATTGTATAATTTCATAAGGTTTACCCGACGGTTCGGGAGAAGTAATTACGAAACGGAAATGTACTCCGGGGAATCTCGTCAGCTCTTTTACGTCTTCATGACCTCTTAATAAGGACTTTTTGTAAAATGCTTACCTGTCAATTTTGTGTGTCAATATATAGATTTTGCCGTGCTTTGTGGAGCAGCTTTTTTTGGTTTTCTGTTAATAGCTTTGTTGTAGCTGTGACCTTCGGTTTTTGTAAATTGTCTCTATTGGGAGATTCACTGCCCCGGAGGAATGGGGTTTAGGAGATGCAGAAGGACCCATGGGGGGGGGCTCTTTGTCAAGTACCATGGACATATCCGTGTGTCATTTTCCGTCACTATTTTAAACAGCTACCGGCCTCCACAGCAACCTAGAACCCCTTTTTCAGCTCTCCAGAGCCAGTTCTGCCACAGTCTGGTTCTCCAAAAACATCATCCGTGACAAAAATAACGAAGAGTCAATAAAGATAAGTTGCAAAAACGTTTACTGCAGTACATCGTGAAGACCTTGGGTTCTGTTATTAGAGAGTCAACACGGGACGTTTCCTAGTAATTGATGACAATTGGGATTGCTCCTCACTCAGATAAAGCAAATATTGTGAAACGAATTGTTCATTGCGCAGTATTCGTTAGCGTGTGAGCGATAATAGAAGAAAACTTTCTACAGAAATTGCTACAGTAAACGTTTTTGCACCTTATCTTTATTGGCTCGTCATTTTTGTCACGGATGTTGTTTTTGGAATTCCACTTCTTCCCGTGATCTCTCATTTTTGGCTTCTACAGGCTGGTTCTCGGCTACAGCCATGTTCGGCAAGGGCTACGCAGCGCACTTCAGCGACCGGGGATATCTGCCCGCTGTTTTTTTTCCCTTGCGCTACTCATCCATGAACAGCAGTGCAGATGTTCAAACTTCGGGGAACAGGGGGAGTAGCCCAGTCCCTCATAACAAAACCAAAGACGGCCGAGGTCCAGCATCGAAAAGCGGTTTCCGAAGGTTCCACATGAACGTGGAATCGCTCCGAGCATGCCCGCCTCTGCGGCGCTTGCGGTAACTTCTCAGCAGAGGGAGAGGCTTGCGTTCTCCGTAACCCACTCGAAAAGGGTCTTTCTCAGGCCCTCTCCCAGGTCGGTTACCCTGCCCAACCTTTCCTCCTCGAGCCGACTCTTGGCCCAAATCCCCACGTGGCCGTAGGCAGGAGGACTCTGCAGAGCAACAGAGCTGTATATTCCAACACTAGTTCTTCCATAACCATTGGCAAATAAATGTTCGAGTCTTATCGTGTTCATGTCACAGTGACCGTGGGGGACGCCTCAGTCGGGCACAGGCGTTGGGGATGGAGCGCTGCCCTTGTCTGAATTTGCCATGCTGCGCATATGCCTCTCGTCCAGCGGCAGTGGCCGCTGCATCTTGTGCAGTGCAAGCATTTGTACACTCGAACTCCTCCCGTTGCAGAGTCTCAGTAATGGGTCAGATCCAATTCTCAGCGCTGCCATAGGTTTTCCGTGTGTCAGGTGTATATATGTGGATGTCTATATATATATATGTACGCATTATATATATATATTGAGGCGCTGTGTGTAAAGTCAGTGTGTAGCGTGGGCATATCTGGACCGTAAACGTGCATGGTTTGTGCGCACACGTATCTCGCCGACCGGTGTCTGTAAACTTCAAGCCAGCCAATACATGCTCCAGGGCACAAACTCATTCTGACATTTCTGCGCTACTACAGTGTTTGTAAGCAACAGACTTGAAAACGCACCAGCCCAAGAGGCCCGGACAAGAGCAGTGCAGAGTTTTCCAGGCAGGAAAGAAAAATAAAAATAAAAGCAAGTTGTTGGATTTTTTTTTTCCCTCCCTGGTGATGTGTCTGATTCTGTGAAGTTGCCGCGAGCAGCGAAGGAATGTGGTTTTGGGTCTTCCATCGAGACAGGCAGGTAGTTTTGGTTTGGCTTTTTGATTTGGCCAGTTTGGTGTAGTGGTTCAGTGCGCGGACTCTAATCTGGGAGAACCGGGTTTGACTCCCCACTCCTCCACTTGCACCTGGCTGGATGACCTTGGGCAAGCTGTAAATCTGGCACAGCTGTTCTCTCAAGGGCAGTCCTCGAAAGAGCTCCCTCAGCCCCGCCTACCTCACAGGGTGCCTGTTGTGGGAAGGGGAAGGAGTTTGTAAGCCGCTCTGAGACACCTTTGGGTAGTGAAGGGCGGGGTATGACTCCAGTCTCTTCTTCTAATGGCAAACCACCTCTGTGTGACTTTTGCCATGACTTGAATGACCCAGGCAGGCCCGATCTCATCAGATCCCGGAAGCTGAGCAGGCTCTGCCCTGGCAAGTACTTGGACGGGAGACCTCCAAGGAATACCAGAGGCAGGTGATATCAGAGCCACCTCTCTGAAATGTCCAGGCCCCACTAGGGGGCCACCAGAAGTCCACCATTACTTCCAGGCATACACAGACACAAATACCAGAAAAAAAGGGAATCTTGGTCTCTCAGGCACTACCGGACTCAAATCGAGCTGCTCTACTCTGGACAAACACTGACGCCTCTCTGGAATAATTCCTTTGGTCGTTACTTTAATGTTTTCCTTTAGCTGCCCTGTTTACCCAGCTGTATCAATATCCCTTCCAAGAAGACTTGGATTAGGAACGTT